GTGAGTAATGACTAGAAATGCCTTGAGCGGGATAAGGGCGAGAGGAACTGGGCATCGGGAGGGAAAGGGAAGAGGGACAAAGGGGCTATGGGACCCTTGACATAGAGTCAATTCATGAAAATGACTTTTGCACTTGAGACTTGGAAGTGTGATTGCGAGTGCAATCGTACCAAGGAAAATGTGATGTTGTGTGTGTATGCTTATGAGGATCCCGAAAAGACTAAGGGGCCTACTTCATATGCGTAGAGGCGAGGGGGAGGACGGCCCCGTCGCACCCCGATGACGCCATATAGCCAAAATGCTTAGGGAAATGGTGCGTGGCCTAAGGATGACGCTTAGCCTACGCACAAGAGAAGAGAAACGCTCAAAGAACCCCTGGACTGTCTGCGTATTGGAAGGAGCAATTGCTTGAGAACACAATAAAGAATCAAAAAAAAAATCAGCGTTGCGGAAACGACCAGCGAGACTACCACCCGGCGTGAGGGTTGAGCTACATCCCCAATGTCAAAGCTCTCTCGCGCGTTGGCCCACCCCCATCCATCTCAAAGCACTAGCTGGGAGTGACCTTGGGACGAATGGCCCGCGCCCTGAGCATGAGTGTGGGCGGGCCGAGCCAAATGGGACCCGCAGTGGGGTCGACTAAGGCTCGAAAGTCTACCGGGGTTTGGCCCTACAAAAATGGTGGAGGTGACGGGCATGGGGTTAAATTGACCCTTGCGATTCCGATGGGGGCGCCCGACGCATTGACGTGTACACAACCCAAGATAAGGAAAATGAACTTGTGTTTGCTCTTTCCCTTGTGAGAAATCAGATTTGAGGGCGGTTGGGCGCATGGCATGGCCAGGCCTGGAAGAATAACATGCATGCTTTGCACTTGATCAGCTGTTCCTTTGAGGAATGACTCTAGCTCTCTTTCATCCGGTGCTGGTGTTCACCAGTCCGGGGAAGCTTTGGGCAAGTCGCAGGTCGACCCTTCGTGTTCGTATGAAAGAAGGACTCCGGTTACCTGGCAGGCGGTTGGTGCTTGGCTTAGACCAGGTTCCAATGAAAATCCCATGGCGGAGTGATCCGACCGAATGGGTGCTTTCCCCTTCTTCTTTTGAGCCCAGCGGGCTCATACACTTTGCACTTTTTTAATGATTGAAGGAGCCGATATGAACACAACGGGTCATCAAAAAAGAACAATCCTACCCTATGAAAGGGCAGACAAGTGAAGAGAAGGGAATGAAGGGAGTTGCTAGACTCCAAGGAAAACTAGCTCACCCTTGAAGATTCTCACGAGAATGAACCAACCACTATGCATGAAAGTAGGGGGAGTGACGCTCATTGTCCTGAAAGAAAATCTGTGAGTTATGGGTAGGAAGCGCTGGGTGCACCAAAGGAAAGATACTTGTACTATGTGTGTCCCACTTGGGACTTGTGATTATATGATTGGGATTTCGAGCGTCCTGCCATTTGGAAGGAAAGGATTGGTTTGCGTCGGTCGGTGCGGGATGCGAGCTGGTCGTCCTCTTTGAAGTTCACTGGGTTCCGTGTGTGGGGGTCGGGCCACCGGACTGTCAGGCAAGGGTTGGTCTCGTCGGCTGACTAGTAGCATTCTCATCGGAGCGGTCCGAGCATGGCTCAATGATTTTGCCCAGGTGGGATGTGAAACCTCTTCAGGCGGGGCGGCTACTTGGTGGCAGACGGCAGGGGGACCACTGCATATAGGGCAAGGAAGGGGCCTCGGAGGCGATTGAGAGCTTCTCGTAGCATGGCTTGGGAAAAACTGTTCCTTATCGGACCGATGGAAGTGAATGCCTGGGCGGCTGGCTCCAATGGCCCTACCGAGATGTGCGGGGTGATTCCCGAGATTAACGGTGGGTACACGAGCGGCAAGTCGGGATGGGGTATTCTGGGTAAGGAGGAAAGGGTGAATGCCTTGCTGAGACCTGGGTACCCCGCTCGCGACGGTTGAGTTGTGCTTGAGGTATGGGATAAAACCCTACCGATAGTACCAGCGGAGAGACCATATTGGGATGGGCGGTGAGGAGATGACCGGCCCATATGTGAGGTTGCCTGATTTTCTTTTATGTGTTCCCCCTCTGTAAAAATTGATTGAGCTTGGATTGTTAGACGGCCACTCTTCTAAGTCTGTTCCCCCTCCCATCTGAGTCCGTACGAGTGAGAGATGATCGGAAGGAAGGAGGATAGAGGTCAATTGGAATGGAACCAAGAGAAAGAATGTGGGCAAATGGATCGCCGGCCGAGGGAATTACGGGAAGGAGGTACTTAGGAATGGGGAGGTAAAATAGGGAGATCTTGATGAGGGGTCCGAAATAATTATCATCTAGGACAAGGGTTGACCTGACCAAAAGGATCGGTTGGTGTCTTTTTATGAAAACAGAGGTCGGGTGCTGAAAACAAGATGGCGCGATGGTTGTCTTCCCCGATCTATACCAGCGGCCCGAAATGCCAGTAGATGTAAAGGATGAGGTATCCGTCGTCCTCCCGGAAAATGGAACGTGGACGGACCTTGAACCTGCGTATCAAACGGTAATGCTGGAAGAAGAGGATGCTTTCCTTTGGATAGAAACAATATGGACTAATGTCAGCTTGACGAGGTTGTCAGCAAGTTTAATGGATTTGGAATTCCGAGGGACAGTGGAAGCCCGGAGGTGGGTCTACTTGTCGCAAGATGGGGAGAAAGCTATGATCATAGAGTTGACACTCGGGAATACGCCGGACGAGTTGTTTAAGAAAGCAGAAGCAGAGGTTGTATGGGCTGCATGCCAACGGAGGGAAATGGAAATGGAAAGGGTAGACGTACGGGTGGAACTTGGGGATAGAGGAAGCATGAGGCAACCTGTAAGAACCATGCGATGTGTGCTGCCCCCATTCCTAGTGGATGTGGTTTTCGGAACCCGGAGCAAGCTAGTGCGAATATGCCAGTCCATGACGAACCTCGGGCTATACCAATGCGCTAGGCAGGATTTTTTTCGGTTATCAGTAGAGATGGGGCCGTTCGAGGGGAACTGGGCGGAAGAGCTGACCGAGATATTAAACTGCCTTAGCATAGACAATATCTTTGTTCCTAGCGCTGTGCATTGGGGGATAGTCTACAAGAATGTGGCAGTAGGGGAGACGTTCCTAGATGGGGTAAGAGGGTTGATGTACTACGAGGAGGAGGACCTCATTGACGAAGATGAAGATGAAGAGATAGAGGACTGAGACTTTTAAGAGGGGTAGGGTGACTTAACTTAGGGAGGACGGGTGACCTGGTATTGTGTAGGAAAGGGAAAGATGACTAGACAAGAAAGGATGATGGAATACCCCTTCAAAGGTTGGGAACCACGGCGACTCAGAGGAGGAATAGAAATGCCTATACCAACAGGGAACGGATGGAGAGGGACCACGTGCGACTGGATTGGGTTTGAGGTTGCCCGGGACTTGTCATATGTGTGGATAGAGTGGATTTGGAACCCGATAAGAGAAGAGGAAGGTTGGGATGATATAGCAGAAGGCAAGGTAGAGTCAGTTGGAACGATTGTCCTTTCCGAGGACGGATGACACCTGTTTTGCACCATGTTAGCAATGGGACAGGACCCGATGTGGCTTCTAGGGGATGCAGAGGCCCGAACCCGACAGGAAGGCAAGCTGTTCGCCAACGAGGGGTGGGACAAAGTTAGTAGCAGAGTTGTGATGGGAGGATGGAAGGAACTCAAACCTCCAAGTCTACGGATAACGGCTTGGGTACCGGAATTCATAGCCGAG